GGTTTTTCCGAAAAGCGACAAGGCAGCGGTAAATGAAATGCACCGGGTGTTGCTGGATTTGGGTTACTTGTAAGTTTGTTAATTCCAGAGCCGGGGGGAGCCCATGCTCCAAATTTACGGTGCTCTTAAGGTCTCCCTTGACTTGATCGAGTCGCTCTGCGGAGGCAGAGGCTGCGTGTTTACATCCGTGGGCCAAACAGAAGCCGCAGAGTTTTCCGTCTGGGGCCCTGAAAGGAAGGGAAAATAGTTGATTTTCCTGGCTGATGCACTGCTCTGCACACGGGTCCCTGCAAATAGGGTTCCATTTTTACCGTGGGATGCCTAAGCAAGATTGTTAGGCAAACAGCTGCGAGGAGCTGGGAGCAGAATCCTTCCCAAGCAGTTAACGCTCAGTGCCCTTGCTTGGGAAGGGGTGGGCGAGCCCAGCTCCGTCCTGAAGAAAGGGAGAATCTGAGCAAATGCTGGCGAGGGAATTCCCTGTTTCAAGAAGCTTCTGTGGACTGAGGGTGAGGGAGAAAGGGGCAGAAGTGGGAAGTTCTCAGTTGGGGGGACTTGGACAGGCTCTGGCAAGGGGTGGCCGACCTGACGGGTTATCCCAAGGACATGGCTAGTGTCCAAAGCTGGTTAAGGAAGGCTGAGGCAGGACAGTCCGTCAAAGTCCCGCAGGGGCTGTTTTCACACTGATCCACCATGCGAGTTGCTGGCTTTGAGAGGATGTGTGAACCCCGCCATTCTGGTTTTGTAAAGCAAGTGGTCGCGGAATCAGAGAGGGTGCGGAGCCCAATCCGTGGCCGGAGCAGGGATCCCGGTGAAAGCCTCCGACAGATGGCTGGACAATCATCTGTCGACTCAGATCCCTCCTGTGCCCAACCCTCCCAGAGGATAGAAATTGATTCCTTCCCAGCCAATGGGGAGAGGAGGAGGAGGAGGAGAAGGAGACAACCATTGTTTAGTGTGATGTGTTTAAGTGAACAGAGGCTGGGCTCAAATTCCCTTGCTGCAAACTCCTGTACAGGTGCCCCTTGCCTGCAGGCATCGGTGTCTGGGCAAGGCACAAGGGCATCCTGAGGAGCTTATGGCACCTACGGTGTATCTCTGCAGCCCCGTGCACTAGAAAAAGCCCTATTGCAACTTCCCTCTGCCAGGGGCTCGTGCTCAGCCCAGACAAAGCCTACAGTTTAAAGGAACTTCTTCCTGCCAAGCCCATTTTTGTCCGTGTCTGTACTTTCCCTGATTTCAGTCTGAGCGCCAGCAGCCCGGTGGAAGATGCTGAGAGGCAGCTCCTAAATGCCCCTCCCACTCGCCAGCAGTGACTGGCATGATGAGCGTCTCAGCCGAGTGCGCCTGCCAGCTGCCCCTCCTCTCTTCCTGGTCCTGATGTGGGCAGCGAGGCAGATGCTCAAGGGGTTAATACGTGCTGCAGGGATGTCGAAATTAGGTGAAAAGTCAGAGAGGGAATGATCTCCTCTGGGTCATGGGACCTTTGCAAACCGGCTCCGCAAGGCCCGCGTTCCCTCTTTCGCCCTCTCGCTGGTGTCACTATCCTGCGTGTGTGTGTCATTCCCTCGCAAGCGCATGACATGCTACTGCC